ACCGGGTCTTAAAGGGCCCTCCGCCCAAATCCTTTTAGCCTTTTTGCCTACTCGAGGTCCTCTATCGAATGATGTATGAACGAACGAAATCGGAGCCGGACACCTGAGGCGGTTCCCTCGTTAGTTGTCGGTACCAATAACCTGTCAGATGAAACAGCCGCAAAAGCGGCACAAAGAAAGTCGTTACTCGTCGATACTTTCCAACAAAAATACCCCCCAAAAAAATTGTCCATTATTACGCTTCCGTGTCGAACGAGTAAAATACATTCTGGGAATACCCCGGACGATCTAAAATTAATTAAACGACGCACTTGTCGCACTGTAACAACATAAAAAACGCGAGAATCATCTATCGGTATTGTGACATTCTATTTTAGAAAAAGACTATTTGTAGACTGACGGTCTGCATTTGAATCTGAACAGATTCATGACAAAGATATTGAACGATTGTATTCAAAGTATATAACAGTTTCATATGTGTTCTTCAGTTATTCCTCTCTCCTAATCTCTACTAAATCCTCTAGATCTCTCTCCTTTTTCTGCTCAAAAACTTGAAATTGTAATCCACAACATTCAATCACTTTTTCTAAACCTGGCATCTGTAAATATCTAAAAAGGTATCGTCCCGATTCGTCGACAAATCGGACACTTCAAAGAATATACATCAAAGAATTTCAAAGGCGGGAGGGGCGGTGTGAGAGTGAGTGCCGACGAATCGGGACTGAATCTCTAAAAACGATTGTCGATACTTTTGATCATTTGCCAAGCGTTTTTAGTCTAACTACGTTTAAACAAACACATATCGACAATATTTTTTACTCATCCGCAGTTCCTCACCAAATTCGTTGACTAAACAAGCATCTGGCAAGTCTGTTCATTTTGTTCTTTTCATGTTCATTTCCACATAAAATGAAACTATCATCAAAAGTTTAAATTGAAGGTAGATGCAGGCAAAAAGACAGATCAGTTGTTTCACTTGTTCAAAAAACTCAGAAATTCTGTCGTGAGTTCCATCAAAAATGATAAGGTGAATTTTTTTGAATCTATCATGAAGTAGTTTAAAAACAGCAAACGTTTCTGGAGCGATATAAATAAATTCCATTCGTCTGAGTGTGACCTTCCGTCTGTTGTAAGCTGCTAACGATAAAACTAAAAATGAACTATTTTCTGACCATTTTAAAAGTTCTTTTTTCTCATCGCCAGCGTACTATTCAGTGCTATCTACATCATTTCCATCAAAATCCTTTCCTAACGTTGAGTTTGATACAGAAAATGTTTTCAAAGCAATTATGTCTTTAAAAAACAAAAATTCTGTCTGTATCGACAATGTTCCTGTTCGCTGTTTAAAAATGGGCGCTGACATTATATCTACTCAAATTATTTAATGTTTTCAGTTTTTCCCTTGGAAAAAGGTATTTTCCCTCAAACGTAGACAAGAGCTGCCGTGAAACACAAAAAAAAACAAAGTTGTTGTCAACTATTATCGCCCAATATCTCTCCTATCAAACGTTAAAGTAATAAAGTTTTCGAAAAAAACCATACATGTAAAACTAACATAATTGCTCCAGGAAACGAATTTTTTGTCGAATAAACAGTTTGATTTTCGGCCAAAATCGAGCACAATTGATGCTCTACTTTCTGTTACCAGTCTCATTCCTGAATCGCTCGATGAAGGCAAGGTGCTTGCTGGGATTGTTTTTCACTTTGAGAAGGCCTTCGATAGAGTAACACATGAGGTTTTATTGTCAAAGCTTTCTAAAGCTGGTGTGGGCAGTTCCCTGTTTGCCTGCTTCTCCTCATATCTGTCAGAGCGATCTCAGCAAGTTTCAGTGGGTGAAAAAAAATTCTTTGCTATTGACACTTTTTTTATTTTATTTTCTCTCTCATTTCTCTTTGTTATACACTCTTGTTTGTTTGTTTATTTTTTTTCCTGTCTCTCTCTAACGCTAGTGAGCAATATCTACATTAAGCTGTCTTGCTTGTCACTGTCCTCCATGAGTTTACCATCTTCTCAAAAATAAATGAATCGACTTGAATTGAATTGGATGATTAAAGATCCCTGTTAAATTTTATACATTTGAACTTCAAAATAAAAAAACATAGGTAATGTGATGTGCTCTGCAATGGAGGACTTTCAGTTTTTCCCGATATTCAGTTTGTGTTTTTCTTTGAACCAGAACAAAATCGGAAATACATATAATTTTCGCTATATCATTCTGTTCCTTAAACTATCAAAAGACGAAATCAATCTTTGCTTGAAGGTAGGATCAAACACAAGAAATTTGCAGTTGGTTGCCAAAAAACAACTATACTGTTCCTTCCTGCACAAGGATGGAAGTTGTGCAAATGACCTGATATTCACTTTTTTTGTACGATTGGTTTATGAGTTTTTCGATACCAAACAGTTGGAAAGCTTCTCTCGTCGGTCCAATGTGACGATACAAATAATAAACGTCGTGTTCGATCAATAAACCATGGAATGTATACAACGAAATATCTACAGAATTATGTTCGCTTAGTGGTAGACCAACGTTTCTCGATACAACAAAATATTCTGTTAGACTAAAATCATCATATCCAGGTATTCGTCTTTAAGATTGTTCAGTATCACATGCGTCTAACTACGATTATATTTATTTTACAAAACGAAACGACCAAACAAATACTAATGATTCCAAACGAAAAAAAAAAAATTTTCATGACAACAGCATCTGATCTGAACATTAATGTTTCTCTATTTGCATTTCTATAAAAGGAAAAAAAAAAGAAAAAGAAAAAGTAAATTTCGCTTTTGATCGTTTACAAAAAATGAAAACGAACAAATTAAAAGTACAACGAATAAAGAGGACGTGTGAACACTTTTCTCTCATTTCTCATCGTGAGATTTTTCAAAAAATAACTAAATAAGTATTGCTTATGGTGACTTATTTCCCTGAAAATGATGAATTGAAAAATCAGAAAATAAAAGAGAAGTATATACCAGACGAAAAGTTGTGCATTGGAAATACAAAACAAATCGCAAATGCAGCGACGAGAGATTATTAATCCGAAAAAGAAAAAGAAAAACCCAAAAAACATATGAATACTGTATTATGTTAGTTCTAAACGAGCAAAAAGGCTTCAGTGGTGAGGAACATCCTCTATTATGAAATGTGAACAACGAGTACAAAAAAAAGTTCGTGTAAAAAAAAAGAAGTACAATATACAAGAAGAGGTTCAATAAGAGGAGATATAAAAGATATACACATACACGCACGCTAAAAATAAAAGCAAACTGTATAAATTTATTAATGTACGATATTATCATTAAGATAATATTTATTTTAACATTTTGGTGTTTGATGTTCAAAAAATTTATATGTTGGATTTTCGTAACCATTAACTTGCATCGCTGCTAAATGACGTTCTTCTGGACTACATGATTCAACTTCTGTAAATAAATAATTTTTTTCATATTGACCACCACGGCGGTAATGACGACGTAGAGCATAACAACGATAGGCTAATACGCCAATTAGAATAAATGATATCAGAACACAGCCTACTATATACGGAATATATGTTTGGAATAAACTTTTTGGATTCATCATTAATTTCGATGATGATATTTTTTGAGATTGATTCTAAAATGAAAATAAAAATTAAAAAATCAGGATAATGTATAACGAACAATCATAATCTATGATACTTTTTTTTTCTTTTTTTCTCTTCGTTAGTTTTTAATTTTGTACGTATGTCATTCAAATAAGGTATCACTGTTTTTATACTTGACTTATCAGTAAGAACTTTATTTTCTTTACATTTGCTCAATAATAGACCTTTATCTCTAATACAATGTGTTTTTCTTTCCAAAATGTCAGAGTTCAACATTGTTTCAATTAGAAACAGTAGTCAATACATTTTTTAAATGATAAGGCATTCTTCGGATAAGAAAGTATTTAAAAAATTCAATAGTTAGAACAAACAAAAAAACAAAGATGTAAAAAAACCAGTAGTATATCATTTTTATACGTTTTACTCTTATTTAGAACGTACGTGTTCTAAATAAATGTTAAGAGCAGAGGTGCAGAATCTACTCATAAGAATGAAATACTTCCCTTCCCTCGACGGAAATATTTCTAAAAAATGTCTCATTAGTATCAGAATATTTTCTTTTGCAATTATTTTTTAGCGAAAATTCTATGTTACAAAAGTTTTTCTGAAAAATTTTCTCGAATTAAAGACTTTTCTCCCGACGAACGTCGGAGCAAACGGGTATATTCTGTATCTCTAGTTAAGCATGACAAAACAACAAAACTGATTAAAAATATCGATCAATTGAAGAGGAACGATGAAATATTCTTAAAAAGTAAATTATGTATTTCTCTCTGATTGTACAAATAATTTTGCGAGAACGCATCGAAAAACTTCGAAGATATATTGATAAAACGTTTTCTTATTCATTGTCTGAATATTAAAGCTTTTTTAAAGGAAGATTTCTGCAATACTTTTTACTATAAGTGATAAAACTATTTAAAAAAACTGTTTCGTTCTTGTGAAACTTTTAGATCAAAATCAAGAATACGAACTAACTTTAAAATATAGTTACTAAGCAATGAAATAACCTTTACAGATCGAGTAATTGTTTTTCCTCATCATTAAATCACCAAAAATATTGACTATGAAACGGTTCTAGTCATCTTAGATAAATTTACTACAAACCTCGTCCACAATGAGCCGGTTGTTTTCGCGTTTTGCTGAAAAATCATTATTATTCCAACTATTAACAACTTCTTTCATATAGTTCCCAGTATTCATGTCTTCTTGTTCATCATCGTCGGCTATCTCATCAACAAATGGTTGAACGAAGAACGTTGTCATTGTCGTTGTCATGGTGTTCGGTAATTGCGTTTGTTTTTCATTATCGTTTCTTTCTTCTTCAGTATCATCATCATATAACTCACCCGTTGCATCATATTCACTGTCATCATCAGTTGTTGTTGTTGTTGTTGTCTGACGTGTTGTTGTAGTAGTTGTGCTTGTGGTTGACTTTTTCGTTGTTTTAGATGGTTTACTCTAGAAAAAATGAAAATTTTTTATTATGCACATTAATTTTAGAATTTATTTCAAGATCTGACCGGTAAAGGATATATTCGTGCTTCATCTCGTCCCAATGGTAAACGTGGAATACGTTTTGTCGTTGTGGATGATGACGCAAATTGATTTAACAGTGTTTCGGCTGCATCATTCACTTCAGCGTATTCAGAAAATAATGTATCTAAAAATCGGTTTATCATAAATGAATGTTCACATTCAAAAAGATTATTACTCTACTTATTCGTGATTGTATTTTAGCTTGTAATTTTGAATACTGTTTCAGATTATTTACTGCATCATTGATACGTGCTGCAATGAGTTTCAAACGTTTTTCGATTTCCGGTTTCTTTTCAGCTGCTTGTGGTGGATCCTTAATTCTTAAACGTTCATATCGATTTACCAAATGTAAACGATCGCGTATTAACGCATGTAAATAACTTAATAATGCTTTTTGAACATTTTCGGTCTTAAAAACAAAGAAAAATATATTTTACTAACATATAACGTTAATCGGACAGAATCAGAACATGCAATCATTTTTAACTCTGCTATCCTACATGTTATCCTTTTTTTTCCTTAAATGCAAACTCACATTCTTTGATATAAAAAAATGAAATTATCGAGAGAGCTCGTCTGTTTGTTATTCAATACATAATCCTTTCTTTGAATAAGATAACCAGTGACTTAAATGACTCAAAATAAACCAGTTTCACTCAAACAGTTCTCTTTTCAAATCAGCCATTTAATCAATTAAGAGTTATCTGGGATTTTTAACCATCTATCCCCGCATTCAATGATCATTTTCCTTAATTTTACGACGATAAAGATTCAATGAATAAGACTGTTTTTTCTCCACTAATTAAAGAAATAAACTTCAACAGTCAAGGGAGCTAGAGAAGTTATATTGTATATAGAGATAGCATTCTTCAGACTAACTAAATTGATACTCGAAACTTTATTGCCCTGTAAAAAGTAAAGTTTTTAGTACAAATTATGTTTATTTGATGATCAATTTTTGTATGCAGTTAACATTTTTTCAAATGTCATATACTATTGCTGAGACAATTTATGTATGTATACATATTATGTGATTTTTATCTAACCGATTTGTAAATCACAAATGAGATGCATATATATATATATATATATGTGTGTGTGTGTTCAATTTACTATCCTTTTATCGAGTGTCAATTATGGTTTCTTTACACTTATGGATCACTAAACAACATACACACACACATACACACTCACACACGCATACATATAGACCATAGTCTAAAGCAAAAAAAATAATAATAATATAAAGTGTGCAATGAATCAAAGACAAGAGACAAAAAAATTCGTTCAGTTTCCACTTCAACGAGATTTCGGAAGTCGTCGATTTAGAAAATAAAATACAGAAATACACTCACTACTTTTAACGGTATCATTGAATTTTATATAACGAACAATACAAAAGAAAACGAACTAATCTCGTGGAATATCTTCAGAGAACAATAAATTCGATTCTTTATTTTTGTATTGAAGTTAATTATAGATAAAATACTTGTAGTTTAAACTGAATTTGTTTATACGCTAGACTAGAAGACATCTGGAGGCGCATTTATGTCAGGGTAGTCAACTGTAAAAATTCCATTGTAGAACTAATTAATGTAAAATGAGGGACATTCAGAATGATGGATTTGTACGAGGAATTCTTTCATGGAGGTATGTCTGGTAATCTTGATTTATGTCAAAAGAAGCAAGAATCTATTCCAATATGTACTGTAAAATATAAGAGATATCTCTACATATTTAAATATACTAATATATCTCAGTGTGTGCGCAGAAAAATGAAATGATTTCTTAATATCACAGGTAGATCTAGAAGGCAATTTGATTCATTTGATATACATCTAACAAACACATTTTGTGTAGGTTCAAAACAAAAGATAGTTTTGAGTTTCTAGTAAAATAACGAACGTGGATATATGTGGTGAAAAATATTTTATCAAAACAGTCTGTTGAATTAGATACTGTATCTTTTTAAATTTGTTATTTTTATCCATTATTAAACAAAGAACAAAAAACTTACTTTAATCGGTTTCTCATTCCATGCATTCGTTAACTGCTTCTGTGCTTCAGCTTTTTCACGGTTAATATTCAAATCCAAATGTCTTTCATGTAAGTCATTGATACGTAAACGTTCTTCATTGGCACGTTGTTTTATTTTTTCATATTCATTTTTAAACTCTTTATCTGTTGCTTCCCATTTTTTTTGTCCTTCAATGGGATTATTAGCCATTACTTCTTTAATTTCAACTTGTCGAAGTTTCCATTGGGATACGAGCTAAAAAGATAAAAAATACATGTAAAAAACATAGTTATGAAAAAGTGATAGCACAATAAAAGATTTTACTTTAGCAACTTGTTCTTCATATTTCTTCTTAAATGCTTCTTTTTCATCAGTAAATCGTTGATGTTCATTTTTCGGTAATTGATCAGGTAGTATTGACGAGTTTGGACTCATTCCATTTTCATCATCCTGATCTTCATCATCGTCTTCATCATCAGAAAAATTTCCTTCTTCATTTGCAAATCGTTCAAAAGACTCTACAAACGCCGGTTCTCCTTCAAAAAAACAAAAGAAATATTGAAAGAAAAATGAACATGTTGATTAATTTGAATGACTTACGATTTGCTGCTAAAAGACGTCGCTGTTGCTTCGTTGTTAATGGCTTTTTCGTAGATGCAATTGTATCATAGTCTTCATAAAGAGTATCATCATCCAGATCAAATTTCAAACTTTGTTGAAGTGATTCTGGAACTGCAAATTCATGTATCTCATCATCTTCAGCAACCAAATCTTTGTCATCCCACAAAAGTTTCGAGATAGAAGGCTCTAACTCACCATCTAGAAGAGTAGAAGTACCATCATGCAAAAGATAAGACAAAAATAACACAAATAATACCTTTAGATGGACAACAGACAAATTCAATTCCAACAAATTTGGCTATACCACACCATTTCAATAGCGACGACGAATTTAATAACATTTTTTTGTCAGAACAAGTTAGTGATGCTTGACTTTGCCATTGTTCTTGAGGAAGGCATGTTGATGAATCGTATAATGTTTGAAACTGACAATCAGACGGAATGAATAATTCATCAGATTGAAACGGATCGGTTAAACAGCGAAATGGCTGAACAGATTCTTCCGTCTCTGTTCCTTTTTTACAACGACGAATATAGTTTACATTCGTTTTCGATGCTAATTCACACCAATTGTCAAACTGAAGAGTTTTAGCCAAACGAACAATATTGACAATGTTACGATTTGGATACGCCTATGCAAAGTTGAAAAGTTAGAAACAATATTAATAAAAAAAGTTGCAAAGTTACCTTCTGACAAACTTCAAGCGTATCATGTTCATTTTTCACACATTTTGTCATATTATGTTCAATCCAGAATTGTTTTTCTGTATCGTAATATAAATTTGGCTTTTTACTATCACAACCCAACACGGCTATCTGAGAATAATTATTATTCATGGACGATTTAAGTATAACAGCAGAAGACTAAAGATAAAACAAAAGCGTAAAGGTACAAAGACTTAACATATTAGAAAATTACCGGTTGATAATAACAGGATAAAAATAAACTGAACAGTAATGTGAACCGCATCATGAATTAATCTGTAATAAAACACAGTGATCACTATCAAACATTATTCGTAATAATAGAAGTATAAAAATAAAAAGAATCGTCTTTACATTCCAAACAAATTTTCACGTCCATTTTACTGATAAAGCAAATTATTGACATATGTTTAGAGTCACTAATAAAAAAACGGCAAGTTTTTCCTGTATGATATTAAAAAATGCGTTAGTTTCTGTCCAATATACAAATCGAAAACTATTTCTAGATAAGAAACATATTTATCAAACAAAATTACATAAACAATTGTTCAAATTGCATATTTCTAATTAAAAGGTATCACAACGCAAATTTCTCTCGTAGCCATTGCTCACACTATTTGGCCTCATCATTTTTCTTCAAGCATTCAGAATGAAAAGAAACACTTTTCATTAGTTCTAAGTATTAGTAGCTTTTTATATATAAACGCTTTTGAAAACGTTAAGATATTACCAGTCATACTAATACTTGAAACATGTATTTGTTACGTGCGTTATCTGAATAAATTCTCTATGATTAGCTCTTGCATGAAGCCATTAACAACCACGTTGAGTCATAGTGCAAAGAGACTAAAATATATAGCGCACGGCACGGCTGTATTCTATACTCACTTGTAAAAAGCTGCTACTGATATAATAATACAGTAAAGGATAACATCATGTATTTCTTCCACACTCTTATGATTACCGCAGGATTTTATTATAAGAGTAGGACTGATTACCAAAAATTCTGTCAGCTATCTTTTTCTGTTCTTCTCGCATATATTTGGTAAACGATCAAAGATAAATAAAAGATCAGAATCATAGATATAAGCTAGGACTCTATCTCTTGCTCTGACTGACTGAATTCATATCTAAGTTTTAGTCCTAGCCAGTGTTTCAAATGAAAGTTTTACGCAAAGTGTTTTTTTACAGTTTACCACCGTATTGCCCACGTTTTTCGTGCTAAAAACAGTGAAAATTGAAATTTCAAAGTGCAAGATTACTTTGCTTACGCTTGGATCACCAGTCAACTAGCCTTGGCCTTCTCCGTCCATACCTTCTAGTAATGTAAAAACTTCTCAGCGGATGAGTGTACGTCTGCGTTCGATCACTTAACGTAGTAGATATCATGCCTTACAGATATCATTTTCTTACGTTCAAGTGTTTGATTTTTAGCGAAGATGAGAGATGGTATCTAAATCTCGACTAGACAAACTTATTTACTGTCTAAGTTATCAGTTTATTAGAAAGCGATCCAAGTGCTAATGAATTGAATATGTAAATATTTACAAGTAAAAAGAAATCTCGATCCTCAACAGTCGTTTAACTAGTGGAAGAAGAGTTTGTTCTAATTGCTCTTGTGTTTTATGTGTGTTTCTGCATGTCTAATATTTATTTTCATACATTTTAGTTAGTATGAATATTGAAGATACCAAAAAAACGTTTCTGTGCTACATCTCGTTTTTTATCTGTTGCAGATAAATGGCAGTTCAATTTGACGGCTGTGCTCATTTTCGTCAAAGGATTGTGCTTTCAACGCTAAGTTGTACGCCATTGAAAATAAAAAATATTCGATCACAGGAAAATGAACCCGGCTTGCGAGGTTCGTATTCTTATACTTTACCCTAACTAAATCATTTTTCTAATATGTTTCATTTTTTACTTGTTTCGTAGATTTTGAAATTAGTCTTTTGAGACTTTTGGAAAAACTCACAAATGGCAGCGTCGTAGATATTAATGCAACAGGTAATTTTAATCGTTTATTATTTTATGCGATCGACTCTCACTGTAATTCTTTTTGCTTAGGAACATCATTGTACTACGCTCCGGGAGCATTAAATGGTGGTCAAGTCGAACATGATTGCTCTAATGAGCGTGGTCTTGGCTATTATTTAGAAATGGTACTCTATTTGGCACCATTCATGAAAAAACCATTAGAGTTAAAATTGTCAGGTGTTACGAATGATAGACATGATCCATCGGTAATAAAAAAGAAAATCTCGATGAGTAGAGAATGCTTCATTCATTCTTCTTCTTATTTTTTTTGTAGATTGATCTCATTAAATATTCTGCAATATCGGTGATGAAAAGATTTCTTGGATCTGATGATGGTTTAGAAATAAAGGTAGCATAAAATTGATGTCAGTCTCGATTAATTATGTGTGTTTGTGTTTATTTTAGATATTAAAACGTGGCGCGAAACCAGATGGTGGTGGAGAAATTCTATTTCGTTGTCCAACTAAAATGAAATTGAGACCATGTCAATGGATAGATGGTGGCAAAATCAAACGTATTCGTGGTGTTGCGTATCCTTTTCTTCCTACATACTAAAGTTTGTTCATTTTATATTTTTTGCTAAATGTTTCCTTAACCAAGAGTACAGTTATGCTATGCGTGTATCTCCCAGTTTGGCTAATCGATTAATTGAAACAGCGAAAGGTTTATTGCTCAAATTTATACCTGATGTTTACATTTATGTTGATCATCAGAAAGGACAAAATGCCGGTTTGTAAGCATTGAACATTTTTCACTCATTAAATTCTTTGTAAAAGAATTATTCTTTCTATTACAGATCTCCCGGATATGGTTTAACATTGGCAGCTGAAACAAAAAATGGAAGTGTAATATGTGCTGAAGCATGTTCAATACCAAGAGGAGGTGATGGAGAAGAAAATCAAGATGTTACTATACCAGAAGAGTTGGCCAAAGAAGCTGTATTCAAATTATTCGAGGAAATTTATAAAGTAAATTCTTTGTCATCTACGATACACTGAATAAAATTATGTTTATTTTATTTTTTATAGGCTGGAGTTGTTGACTCTTTCGGACAACCATTAGCACTTGTTTATATGGCACTTAATCAAGCTGATGTTTCTAAAATACTGACTGGTCCACTTCACAGTTATTCGTATGTATTTCTTCAAAAACTACAATCAATCGGTTATGTTGTTTCTTTATTATTTAGTATTCAATATCTACGTCATTTAAAACAATTTTTTCAAATAATGTTTAAAATTGACGATTCAAAAAAAGTGAAATTGAAAAGTTTGAACGATACTGAACAAATGGATGTAGATGATAATGATGCCGATGAACAGTTAAAAACCGGAAGTGAAAAACTAATATTGACAGTTGTTGGCCTCGGCTATACTAATTTGACAAAAACTTTGATTTAATTGTTAAATTGTTGTTATATTATCTTGTTTTTGTTTGTTTCATAAGTTGTATTTTTAACAATCTATGATTAAAAAAACATCATTATACAGTTTATTATGGTTTCATATGATCTTATCTGCAGTCTAACTAAATGTAGAATCTCTGTGCCAATGTTTACATAAATGTACCTTTTAGATTTAGTCAGATCTTTGAAATGGAACCGGAACATCGCAGAATGTTGTCTTTATTAGATGATTTATTAAAACCTGTTTCAACAGTTAAAAGTAAGTTTCTTATTCAGCACTATGCTATAGAGAGACGTGTTATGTTTATGTTTTTCTATTTTCTAGTCTCTGAACAAGAAAATCATGAACAATTAACGATTAATGCTATTTTTTCGAATGTCTGTGATCGTTTTAATGAACAATGTTCATTATTCAGTGTTGAATCATCAGACGACGATCCATATTGGCGTTACATTCAAATTCATTTGAATCTACTAGATTCTATATTACCAAAGAGTGATGAAATATCGAGTATTCCATTTTTTAGTGTTAATGATGAATTAATAATCAAAAAGTCATTTGAAATTATTACATTACTTGGTTTAGTACTACATTTTGATGATGGTTTGTATTTATCAATTGAAAAATGTTTAAAAAATGTTTCATCATCAATACACATCATATTATTAAAAACAAAATTAAATTATGAAAAAAGAATATATCGTTTAGCATACGTTCTAAAATATTATCTAAAATGGATTATTATTGATAAAAATAATTCTTCTTATCAACATTTATTAATCAAAACACATCTATTAGAAATAATCATTGCACTTTTTCAACTATTATATTCACCAAATTTAAAATATTCTAATTTTAATTTAACAACACTTTGTCTTGAACAAAATCTATTATGGTTAAAAAAAAATATTTATTCATTTGTTCGTGAATTAATGTTATTAAATCGTTTATTATCTTCAACGGCAAATAGTCCCGTATGGTTAAAAAAACGTTGTGGTGAAATGTTAACAAGTGTCCTATTAGATGATGGTGGTGTCAATAGAATTATTCAAACATTATTGGAAACAACAATGGGAAACATAGATGGAAATGAATGGAAATTATATGAGAACATTGCAAATATAATTTCAACATGTCCAAAAAATTTCACTCAAATACAATATTTAGAACGAATATGTGAACAAATCATTGCTTTATTACATGATAAAAATGATAAACGTTATGTTCATATTTCATGTGTAATTATTAATGAATTAATTAAAAAATATCCAAGAGATTTATTAACATGTTATATTTTTCGTCCATTATTTTCTCCATTTTATTCATACAAAGATATTAAGACTAATGGTGATAAACAATTCTTTGATGAACTAGTACTATGTGGAGAAGAACAGTTTGAAAAGATTTTAATTGATCTCGATCGATTAGTTGTACAAACGCAAACAAAAAATAATTATATTAGTGAATATTTACAATTGACAATTTTGTTTGAATTGATTGAAACATATTTTGCATTAGAAAAAACACTTGCACCTTTCAAGTATGTCGTCGGGTTTTTTTTCACAGCAATTCTGCAGAAAATAGCTCTTGAAAAATTTATTCCATTCACGAATTTTAACTTATGACAAAATTATTTCTTCACTAACATGTTGAATGTTAGTGAAGAATTTTTGTTAGATAGAATTAACGTATTCGATCTTTTCGTTTTAGAAAATCATTTCTAACTATTTTATCAACAATATTATCTTTCATTGATGTTCAACAATGTTCGAATTATTTGCAACAATCTCTCTTTGAATCAAAAAACGTTTATACTGTAAGATTTGTCTGTGATAATGAAACAAATGGCTTTCAGTTTGTTATTGCAAACAACAATCAAATATCCAATGAAGTTGATCTAGACGATCTGACAAATGTTTGTCATTTAGTAAAAAAACTGCTTTTGTCATTGAATAATGATCGATTAATCGTCTGTATATTTCTTGATATGTTAAAAACACTTTTTACACCATTGCAACTACCCGCACCATCGTTGATTTGTTCAGAGATCGAAACTCAAAAGAATTTATTACAAATTAGATATCAAATAAAACGAATAACATTTTTGAACATTCTTGTTGAATATATTGAACAACATATTGATTTATTGTTGAAAAATGTTGATGATACAATTCATGTGCTACAGGTAACGAGAAAACCTCTCGTAAAAAAAGCGTTTTTTCTTTTTTTTTCTGTATTTAATGTATGATATTTAGATTCTTTTAGAACAAATGGCGGATATTTTAAATAAAAAATATACTAGTGACGATGCAGACGAAGAGTCGTTGCAAATGATCTTTGCCATTGCCACATTACTTATTACACATCATGAACAGGTAAACGTTATTTTATCAATATTTTGTGCAAATCAACAATTTGTACTTCTATTTAGTTATCACATGAAAGCAAAACTCGTTTATCCAATATGTATCCACTATTAGAGTTGATTGAAAAAAAACATTTAAATTCTGATATTGTTCGTTTAGCAAAAGAGTTAAAAATTGCTTTTGTAACATTTGGTGCTGTTGTTGAGTCAACTAGTACTCAACGACAACCATTAATAGAAGAGATACGCGATATTAAAGAAGAATCGTATGATAATGCTATTGAATTGTTAAATGATGATGCTCTTCCGCTACGTGCACACGGTCTAATATTATTTCGACGTCTTCTCGAGAAAAAAGATGCTAAAACATTATCAAAAGTTGATAAATTGTTTGATTTATTTCAAAAATATCTTCAAGAAGAAGATTCATATATCTATTTGGCAGCAATCAATGCCTTATGTGCATTAGCTGATCGTTATACGGATAAAGTATTACCTCTATTATGCCATGAATATACTATGATTGAACGAAAATTAGAAGATAAGCTAAAAGTGGGAGAAGTCCTAGTGAAAGTATCAAAATTACTTGGTAAGTAGATATATATATATATAAATGCGTTTGTCAGCAAAAATTCTACGTTACTTATTTAGGTGATATAACACCAAAATATTCTACTATATTGATAAATACATTTTTAAATGCATCAAAACATAATGATACGTTATATCGTGCTAGTGCATTATCAAATCTAGGACAAATATGTCAAATATTAAAATATTCACTAAGAGGATGTATTAATGAAGTAAGAATAAAGAATTTTTATTAGACAAACTAATTTTTTACCGAATTTTTTTGTTTTCTTCTAATTTTGAGATTTTAATGGCATTAAAATGTTATTTATCAATCCATGAAGTATCTGATGTTCGTCGTTCATCCATATTGGTTGTTGAATTATTATGTCAAGGTTTAGATAAAAATACGTGGTTACTTATCGACAACGAACTACCATCATTATATAAACTTTTGTTACAATTATACAAAAATGATAAAGATGATATCGTTAAACTTCATGCACAAATTGCTCTTGACTCATTAAATTTTATATGTAAAGATTATCTTAAACCAAATACGATACTTGAAAAAGAAATTCGAATTTCTTAGTCTTCACTATTGAAAAATACATATTGTCAGAATCTCTACATAAATTGATATTAATGTTTTTTAATTTGTTATTATTCACTTAATTTTTTGATAAAAAGCAGATGTACATCTTGTAAAAGAAGAATAATAAATGAGAAAACTGAATGATTTCTAGAAATTTATTTTTTCTCCTACAAGCAAAAAAAGAAAGCACAAATATATCTTGAATCGTGAAAATATAAAGAGATAGAGACAAGTTTAATGTATTAAAAAGCTGTTGATGTATAAAAGCCTGCAGGACCATTATGATGATATTGAATCGAATGAATTCCTAATAATTGTTTAAAAGTTAAACGAAATTGAGGTGATGATATGCCATACAAAATAAAATTAAGTGCATGATTTGAATATGATAATACAAGTGTAATTGAATTAAATAAACGATAACGATATTCTTGATGAAGATCTTGAAAGACTTGTGCTAGTACAACGGGGGCAAGTAATAAAACAAAAACAAGATTTAATGTCAATAACATATAAGATATTTGTCGTGCTCGTCTCGTTGATTGACGTGTTTTACCTTTTAATGTTGTATTTCTTAGAGAATAAAATAAACGATAAGCAATAATAATACTACAAATTGTCATTATAATAAATGGTATAAGTACATAACTAAAAAGATCAATAACATTATAAGGTTTTTCAAAAAATTTAAAATAAATATTGCTAGTATTATGTGTACAGTCAATAATTCGTTTATATTCAATTGGTGATGAATTATGAATAATTTGATTTGTTTTAGAATTATCAATAATTGATTCTAATTTTCGACTAGCAATTATTGAATTTGAAAATATATTTGTTACAATGGACGACGATTTTTTAATAATTGAAGAAGTTGTTGTAATCGATTGTTTGAATTGATGTTGCTGATGATAATGTATAAATGACACTGATTTATTCTTTATTCGGCTTACAGTTGGAGTGTATCGTCCTGGAAAAAAAAACCATTTTATATTTATGAAATATTTTCTAATATTTATTATATGAGTATATACCTGTTGTTTGAAGTGTGGTAAGAACTAATGAGGATGAATTTGTTAATCGTTGGGCATATATTGTACGTTGTTTACCCATAAAAAATAAAATATGACTATTAATTATTGATACAGCTAAACACATACCGGCAAATATACGATCAGCCGATTGTGCTTTACAAAAATGTTTTTGCATAATTGTACAAGCAACGGCTCGATCAATTGAAACTAATGCTAAAACCCAACTTGATAATTGTGTAGTAATATACGTAAAAAATGTATGTAATTTACATAGAACTAAATGAGATGTTCGAATATCAAATTTAAAATAATCTCGTAAAATAATATGACCAAGTCCACAATAGAGTACACATAAATCAACGATAGCTAAATAAGCTAAATAACGAAATGTTGAATAAATTCGTAATTCTTTGTTAGTAAAAACAACAAATGATAATGAATTACCTAAATGAACGATATTCAAAATTAATACAAAAAAACTTTTACGCCTCTTCTATTGTACAAGAGACAAAACAAAACAAAACACTTTTTTTTTTCCTGTAAAATAACACAGATGCCAAAATAATTAGTTTTTCTTTTGTCATCTTATGTTTTATAGTACAATTTAATATACTAATTTCTCTTAATTTTGTTGATAATCAGTCAAAAAACCAGTAGTTTCTTATCAACCACATACCTATACTTCCGATAAATAAACATATAATGGCAAAAGGTTTTGTTATTCTAGGATCGTATATCTCTTTGGAAATATCAGATAAATGTGTTGATGGAAATGTCATTGTATTATTATAATTTATAATACGAGGTACACTAGAAAATAATGTTTGACTTGACGACATGATCGGCAATGATGTTTTTTATATTTATTTTGAACAAATAACTAATACTAATCAATTTATGATTGATGTTAACTATTAACTAATTAATAACATTTGAGACTAATTTTTATCGCCAATATAAACAAAAAATGTTTAAAAAATGGATAACATCTAAAATAAACAAGCATCAATAGATATATAGATATATATATATATAGAGAGAGAGAGAACAAATAAATTAGGATAATATTTTTATCAATAGGAAAACTTTACCTTGAATCATTTGTTAATAATTCAGAGAAGTATTCTAGCAGAAACTCTCCTTCTGTCATTTACTCTTAATCTTAACTATCATACTGTCAGCTTGAAGGAAATAGAAGTTTTTTTCGTGAATTATAGTTTTTGACATTATATGTGTAGGAAATCCACGTGCAAATGATAGGAATAATAATGAAAAGACGTACAAAATGTTTTGAAAAAAAAAATAAATCTATAGAGAGAAACTAGAGTTCTATATAGTTTTTTAAGTCATCAATAAAAAAAAAAATGTATATTCTGTTGTTTTTTTCCGCTCGATTACCGTCAAAATAAATAAAAAATCTTCAAAAAACATGATATAGTTGTATATTCTATTGTGCTCATTTTTCCAACATCCGTTCATTTATTGATAAGAAAAAGAACAATGATTTTATTGACAAAATATCTTTTCTTTTTTAATAGGTTTTTCTAACTAAAAAACACCTACCTGCTCTAACGAAGAAAAACAAAAATTAATATATCACACATTAATCTGCTAAAAAAATATTTTCTATATATTTTAAATAAATATATGAATATAGTTTACAAATAGATACTGGTATGATATGAAAAAATTATAACAAAATCATCTCTACCTCTTCATTGTTACTACCCGCATATATATATATATATATAGAGAGAGATATATATATATATATTTTCTTCAACTTGACATCTCAATTAGGAGACAAACTCAAGTTTGACATTTTCTTTTCTCTTCTACTCTTTGTGAACGATATCGCGTGTGTGCATGCATATCAATGTCAATCAGAATTATTTGTTATTAGGTATATAACGAAGTTAACTTAAAAGGAACGCATCTGTCAAAATAAAATTATTTATATTGGATAAAATAAAAAAACAATGTCGCAAAAAAAATTATCTGATCAAACAGACAGAGAAAATAATA